CATAAAACAAGAACTAGAAACCAGACCGGAATTGCTTAGAACCGGCCGATTTGATCCGGTCCGGACGATTCCCAGTTTGGTTGGTCCGTCTTGCTCACCCTATTCTTGTTAGCATATATTTGCCCTTAAAATGTGGTGGGCCGAAAAGAGCTTTTTCACATAAAATAATGTATAGAAGCAGTGGAAAATTACGTTTGACAAAAAAATAATGTGGAATTGTACATGCGTATGTACCTATTTATTTATTTGTCTATCATATAATATAAGATGGACAATTGAAGCCATAATTGGCAAGACATGTTTGGCCTTTTCCGGTTGGACCACTTGCTTGTTCGGACGTCAAATTAGGAAATAGCGACGCATTTACGCCACATCACCTTTTTTAAATAAAAAATTCATAATAACATAACTCAAGGATTGGCAATTTGAGTGTTAATAAAATGAGATGTGACGACCTAATCCACAAGTTACGCATTTCAAATTGCTGCTTGGTATCCCTAGCGCTTGTGAAAGGCAATATATCAATTTCAAAAGTTTATCCTAATTCCTCATCCGTGAAACATACATATGATACAAAAGGGATGAGTTGGACGGACGGAATAGATGATTATATAATTGACGTCATGAACACAACTTACTAGGCTCCAAAATTACATTAGAAATTTGATTCGAAACTATGTTATGTCCGGACAAATCATGTAAATAACGGAACTTGAAATATATGTTAACATTTTACGAATTTGCAGCTCTATTATTTTTTCCAACGACGAAATCCACCTAATTTTTGTTTATCTGGAATGACTACTTTAATTTTTATTTCCTTGAAATCTTATTTTTAAATATAAGTTTTATTTAAAGCGGAACATTTTTGGACTTTTTATGTCTTTTTATCAAAAGTGAACTTTAGAAAATTTCAATAGTTTTGTTGAGGTGGGGGACGAGTGGCCGTCCATCTCCTTATCATTGAATATTTGAAATGATCGAGACGATAATGCGATTGGTCAAATTGGACCAATGTTGACTTTAGCTGAACCGTTTTTGAACCATCTAGATAAATGGATTGCGCCAGGATTAAATTATGAAATCATCATTGAGTAATTGTGTAAAGGAGATAGTCTTATATACACAAACGTAGATATATATACCTACAATCTTTCGTGATATTTGAGTAATTTAATGTAGTGAGTTAACTAAATAATTGTTCAAGTTTTGCACTAATTAGTGTGAAAAATTAATTGTCCACCCGCTTGGACCCTCTAATTGCGATAATCATATAATGTGTGCACATGTACCATAATTTGCACAATCACGTAAATATTCAAAAGGGTAACTTATAACTTACGCTATTAACGTAGTTTTTTCTCCATAATCGATCTTGTTCACCTTTCATTTGATGGGTCAAATCAAAATTAAATAAAATCGCTTGTGCAGAGCCGTCTTCTTTGCACCGACGATATGTAATCTATTTTTCCTTTTTTAATATGCACATGCTCGAAAAGTCTGCAACAGTTCTCCTACTCTTTTGATATTCTCGACAAAATTTGGTCTCTACGGTGTGGACATTAGATTGATGTCCAAATCCAGCATGTGCATAAGGAAAAAAGAAGAAAAAAAAGAAAAATAAGTGAAGAAAGTCCTATCATAAGTTGAAAATCAATCAATTACCTTTTTATCTGTACTCTAAGGGTAAAATAAAATATTATTTCCATAAATATCTCCAGATCTATACGTAAAAATGAATTTTGTCACCGACGACGTTCTGTTATCAATAAAATCTTGGAGTATTTTAGTCTTACATAAATAGATACTTTTGTCGGTGTTTGGAATCTTGAATTTTTTCGAGACTTAGATATAGATAACACAAATATTTATCTTGATTAATTACATCAATTATCACGAGAAGTTGTTTTACTAAGCACTCCATTAATGTAAGTACTTGCTCTGAAATTGAGCATCATATGAAGTGCACAACACTCATTTAAACCCTATGAAAGAACTTCGAATCGAAAAGATGAAAGAACGTAGTAAATGGTGATGAATGATAACTCAGTAAATACCGCTCAAAAAGAGGAGAAATGAGTTTATGTGACGTGGATTACCTTGACATTTTCCGCTTAGAATAGCAATAATGCCAATGACCATATCTGATTTGCTATTGTTGTAGCTTTCAAACCCTTACTTTCTTTCACAGGTTTCAAGCTTCTTTCTTTGCGCCCAATTACTAGTGGATTGGATGCTGCTGGAACAATACGACGGGACTCGTACGACAATAATCAAACTTATGCCCCAATAATCACTTACACCCAATTACGAAAAAAGCCTTTTCCTTGAAAGTTTTATGAAGATTTTTCGTCTTAGAATAGTCAACATGAAGAGAGAGGACCATCAGAGCGATTAGCTTAGAGGTGATAATATTTAGAGGTGATCGCCAGCAATAATCGCATCTCCCCGTCCCTGATACCAACTAAAGAAAAATCATGTGAAGACGGGCAATTTTGGAACGCTTTCTATCATTAGAGAAATTAGAAAACTCCACGATGTCCTTCCAAATCATCCGGCACCCGCTCTCACACACTTGCACGCTCGTCGGAGGCATATTTGGAAGCTGAGCGAAGGAAGGCAATGGAGAGAGGACAAGAGGACCCGCGTCCAAACTCACTCTCACTCTCACTCTCTCGACCGTCTGAGAGAGAGGGAGGGAGGGGTGGGGGGACTGGGTCTTTCGGAGGGGATTTGGCTCGTCATTTCTCGCCGTTCTCGAGCCACCTTCGTTGGCCGTCTCGGAGCCGCCTCATTCAGACCTTGCTCCTCACTCACACTCTCTCTCTTACTACCGTCTGGGGGGGGGGGGGGGGGGAAGGGGGAGACTGGGTCTTTCGGAGGGGATTTGGCTCGTCATTTCTCGCCGTTCCCGAGCCACCGTCGCTGGCCGTCTCGGAGCCGCCTCATTCAGACCCTGCTCCTCACTCTCTCTCTCTCTCTCTCTCTCTCTCCCTACCGTCTGGGGGGGAAGGGGGGACTGGGTCTTTCGGAGAGGATTTGGCTCGTCATTTCTCGCCGTTCCGAGCCACTGTCCTTGGCCATCTCGGAGCTGCCCCATTTAGACCCTGCTCCTCACTCTCTCTCTCTCTCTCTCACTACCGTCTGGGGGGGAAGGGGGGGACTGGGTCTTTCGGAGGGGATTTGGCTCGTCATTTCTCGCCGTTCCCGAGCCACCGTCGCTGGCCGTCTCGGAGCCGCCTCATTCAGACCCTGCTCCTCACTCTCTCTCTCTCTCTCTCTCTCTCACTACCGTCTGGTGGGGAAGGGGGGGACTCGGTCTTTCGGAGGGGATTTGGCTTGTTATTTCTCGTTGTTCCCGAGCCACCGTTGCTAGCCGTCTCGGAGCCGCCTCATTCAGACCCTGCTCCTCACTCTCTCTCTCTCTCTCTCTCTCACTACCGTCTGGGGGGAAGGGGGGACTGGGTCTTTCGGAGGGGATTTGGCTCGTCATTTCTCGTCGTTCCCGAGCCACCGTCTCTGGTCGTCTCGGAGCCGCCTCATTCAGACCGTGCTCCTCTCTCTCTCTCTCTCTCTCTCTCTCTCTCTCTCTCTCTCTCCGTCTGGTGGGGAAGGGGGGGACTAGGTCTTTCGGAGGGGATTTGGCTTGTCATTTCTCGCCGTTCCCGAGCCACCGTCACTGGCCGTCTCGGAGCCGCCTCATTTAGACCCTGCTCCTCACACACACACACACTCTCTCTCACTACCGTCTGGGGGGGGGGGGAATGGGGGACTGGGTCTTTCGGATGGGATTTGGCTCGTCATTTCTCGCTGTTCCCGAGCCACCGTCGCTGGCCGTCTCGGAGTCGCCTCATTCAGACCCTGCTCCTCACTCTCTCTCTCTCTCACACACACACACACACACACACTCTCTCTCACTACCGTCCGGGGGGCAAGGGGGGACTGGGTCTTTCGGAGGGGATTTGGCTTGTCATTTCTCGCCGTTCCCGAGCCACCGTCTCTGGCCGTCTTGGAGCCGCCTCATTTAGACCCTGCTCCTCACTCTCTCTCTCTCTCTCTCTCTCTCTCTCTCTCTCTCTCTCTCTCACTACCATCTGGTGGGGAAGGAGGGGACTGGGTCTTTCGGAGGAGATTTGGCTTGTCATTTCTCGCCGTTCCCGAGCCACCGTCGCTGGCCGTCTCGGAGCCGCCTCATTCAGACCCTTCTCCTCACTCTTTCTCTCTCTCTCACTACCGTCTAGGGGGCAAGGGGGGATTGGGTCTTTCGGAAGGGATTTGGTTCGTCATTTCTCGTCATTCCCGAGCTATCGTCTCTGGCCGTCTCGGAGTCGCCTCATTCAGACCCTGCTCATCACTCTCTCTCTCTCACTACCGTCTGGTGGGGAAGGGGGGGACTAGGTCTTTCGGACGGGATTTGGCTCGTCAGTTCTCGCCGTTCCTGAGCCACCGTCGCTGGCCGTGTCGGAGCCGCCTCATTTAGACCCTGCTCCTCACTCTCTCTCTCTCTGTCTCTCACTACCGTCTGGGGGGCAAGGCGGGGACTGGGTCTTTCGGAGGGGATTTGGCTCGTCATTTCTCGCCGTTCTCGAGCCACCGTCGCTGGCCGTCTCGGAGCTGCCTCATTCAGACCCTGCTCCTCACTCTCTCTCTCTCTCTCTCTACCGTCTGGTGGGGAAGGGGGGGACTGGGTCTTTCGGAGGGGATTTGGCTCGTCATTTCTCGCCGTTCCCGAGCCACCGTCGCTGGCCGTCTCGTAGCGGCCTCATTTAGACCCTGCTCCTCTCTCTCTCTCTCTCTCTCTCTCTCTCTCTCTCTCACTACCGTCTGGGGGGAAGGGGGGGACTGAGTCTTTTGGAGGGGATTTGGCTCGTCATTTCTCGCCGTTCCCGAGCCACCGTCTCTGGCCGTCTCAGAGTCGCCTCATTCAGACCCTGGTCCTCACTCACTCTCTCTCTCTCTCTCTCTCTCTATAAAATATGGGTTAAAAAAAGAAGAAGAAGAGGATAATGGTTGAAAAGTCAAAAGAAGCAACAGTGATGCTCGGCTCGTTTTAAGAAGCCAAGAGCACGAACAGAAACAGAAGAAAAGAGAGGAAAAGAGGAGAAAGGAGAGGAAAGGAAAGAGGAAGAAGAAAAAGAGAAAAGAGAAGGGGGCTTTGCACCGCAGGGGTCTGGCTAAGCCGATTCGACTTCGTAACGCAACGCTCCGTAAGTATTCGCACCCCTCGTTCAATTAATCGGAATATTTTTCGGGTTAGGGCTCGTAATTCGAAGTTATGTGTTATTCGAGCGGTGAAGTCAGATTTTTTAGTTGTAGAGTTGCGTATTTATATAGAATTGGTAGTTTATGGTGTTGCAGAGATGTGAGATTTTACAGAATCTGATTTGGACTTACTATTTGCCGGATATGAATTTTTGAAGTTGAATGCGCGCAGTGAATAGTGCACGACCGGCGGCTTTTAGGCTGATTTTCGTCGATTTTCGGCTCGATTTTGGGGCTGCCAAGTTGAGGTTCCTGTAGTGCTCCGAATGAGCTTTCTTTTGACTATAAACTTGCTTGGATTGGAGTTTAGTGGAGAAAGTTATGGCGCAATCAAATTTTGTGCTCAAGCTCCGCATTGTGGACGATTTTGGATAATCACTTTGGACGAGCGATTTGAGGGCGTCTTTTAGTGGTTATATTAGCATCTAAGCCTAGTTTAGCCGAGTCGTAGTTGAAGTAACATTTTACTCGGTTTTGATATCGTTTTTCGATTTATTGTTAGGTATTCGAGTGCGTCGGCTCGAGAAATCGCCGTAGGTTAGTTTTTCGGCTTTTCAAGGTGAGTGGTACTATTTCTTCTTTAAATTTGTAAGCTCATGTTTAGAAAATGAGATGTTATAGATATGTTATCATATAAGAAATGATATTTTGTTTGCATAAAACTGGATTGAGCATTTACTGTCATTTTGTGTATTTGGAATAAAAGATTTCCTTTTGATTTCGGTTTGAACTTATGGGATGTAAAGGGGTTTGTGAAATCTTTTGTGAAAGACTTATGAGGAGTTCTTGAGTTTGAATGTGATTTTTGAAGGGTTATATACCCGTTTGCGAAATGATTTATGAATATTGGTGATTTTGATTGTGGATTGGATTTGCTGGTATGGGAGGATATGGATTTTGATGCTCAGTGTCTTTTTGAACCCAATGAGGGGTATGAGTATGCGCATACTAGTCTAGGATATCCTTGTGGGCCGAGCCACCGGCTTATAGTAGGTGGAGACCTTGCCAATGGGGGAATCTTGGTCGTCTTTCACGGGGCGTTATCCGTGATCATAGTTAGATTTCTGAGCATGAGATTGGCCAATTGAATGGATCATTGGCGTGTACTTTTTTATGAGATTGGCCAATGGAATGGACCATTGGCGTGTGCTTTTTGACGAGATTGGCCAATGGATTTGACCATTGGTTTCTTCTTTGATATTATTAATTGGAATGAGCTTTCCTATTGTGAAAATGTGATGTTTAAAGTAGCATATAACGTATTTTGAACCTGGAGTTTGTTATATGTTGGGTTAATTGAGCTTTCGTTTAGTCTTATAACTGTGTGCATAGTGGGTGCTCAATCTACTTAGAAAAAATGTATTACTTACTAAGTCGTGGTAGCTCATTCCTTTCATCTTACTTGTTTTTCAGGTTCTTCACCGAGCCGCAAGTAGGGCTTGAGAGTTTCGATATTAGGGTGGACATTTTGATAGTGGGGACTTTTTGGTACGAGTTATGCATAGATGTGGAGCTTAATGTATTAGCTTGTTTCTGGTTATGTACTTAGCTTTTTTATGGATTGTAGTTAACATTGATATTGTAACCAAATAAACTCTATATCATGTATATATATGTGGATGCATATATTATAATATTAGGTGAGTTTTGGTTATGTTTAGGCTGCGTCCTTTGGTGAAAGAATAGTCGTGTCATGCCCTTATTCTTGTTGAGTTTTGGGTGTGACACTCTCTCACTACCGTCTGGTGGGGAAGGGGGGGACTGGGTCTTTTGGAGAGGATTTGGCTCGTCATTTCTCGCCGTTCCCGAGCCACCGTCTCTGGCCGTCTCGGAGCTGCCTCATTCAGACCCTGCTCCTCACTCACTCACTCACTCACTCACTCACTCTCTCTCACTACCGTCTGGGGGGAAGGGGTGGACTAGGTCTTTTGGAGGGGATTTGGCTCGTCATTTATCGCCGTTCCTGAGCCATCGTAGCTGGTCGTCTCGGAGCCGCCTCATTCAGACCCTGCTCCTCTCTCTCTCTCTCTCTCTCTCTCTCTCTCTCTTTTTCTCTCACTACCGTCTGGGGGGCAAGGGGGGACTGGGTCTTTCGGAGGGATTTGGCTCGTCATTTCTCGCCGTTCCCGAGCCACCATCTCTGGCCGTCTTGGAGTCGCCTCATTCAGACCCTGCTCCTCACTCACTCACTCTCTCACTACTGTCCAGGGGAAAGGGGGGAACTGGGTCTTTCGGAGGGGATTTGGCTCGTCATTTCTCACCGTTCCCGAGCCATCGTCTCTGGCCATCTTGGAGCCGCCTCATTCAGACCCTGCTCCTCACTCACTCACTCTCTCACTACCGTATGGGGGAAAGGGGGGAACTGAGTCTTTCGGAGGGGATTTAGCTTGTCATTTCTCACCGTTCCCGAGCCACCGTCGCTCGCCGTCTCGGACCCACCTCATTCAGACCCTGCTCTTCACTCTCTCTCTCTCTCTCTCACTACCGTTTGGTGGGGAAGGGGGGACTGGGTCTTTCGGAGGGGATTTGGCTCCTCATTTCTCGCCGTTCCTGAGCCATCGTCACTGGCCGTCTCGGAGCCGCCTCATTCAGACCCTGTTTCTCACTTTCTCACTCACACTCTCTCTCTCTTTCTCTCTGGGAGGAAGGGGGGATTAGGTTTTTCGGAGGGGATTTGGCTCGTCATTTCTCGCCGTTCCTAAGCCACCGTCTCTGGCCGTCTCGGAGCCGCCTCATTCAGACCCTGCTCCTCTCTCTCTCTCTCTCTCTCTCTCTCTCTCACTACTATCTGGTGGGGAAGGGGGGACTGGGTCTTTCGGAGGGGATTTGGCTCGTCATTTCTCGCCGTTCCCGAGCCACTGTCGCTGGCCGTCTTGAAACCGCCTCATTCAGACCCTGTTCCTCACACACACACTCTCTCTCTCTTTCACTACCGTCTGGGGGGTAAAGGGGGACTGGGTCTTTCGGAGGGGATTTGGCTCATCATTTCTCGCCGTTCCCGAGCCACCATCTCTAGCCATCTCGGAGCCGCCTCATTCAGACCCTGTTCCTCACTCACTCTCTCTATCTCACTATCGTTTGGTGGGGAAGGGGGGGACTGGGTTTTTCGGAGGGGATTTGGCTCGTCATTTCTCGCCGTTCCCGAGCCACCGTCTCTGGTCGTCTCGGAGCCGCCTCATTCAGACCCTGCTCCTCTCTCTCTCTCTCTCTCTCTCTCTCTCTCTCTCTCTCTCTCTCTCTTTACCATCTGGGAGGGAAAGGGGGGACTGGGTCTTTCGGAGGGGATTTGGCTCGTCATTTCTCGCCGTTCCCGAGCCACCGTCTCTAGCCGTCTCGGAGCCGCCTCATTCAGACCTTGCTCCTCACTCACTCACTCTCTCTCACTACCGTCTGGGGGGGGAGGGAATGGGGGGACTAGGTCTTTCGGAGAGGATTTGGCTAGTCATTTCTCGCCGTTCCCGAGCCACTGTCGCTGGCCATCTCGGACCCGCCTCATTCAAACCCTGCTCCTCACTCTCACTCTCTCTCTCTCTCTCTCTCTCTCTCTCACTACCGTTTGGTGGGGAAGGGGGGACTGGGTCTTTCGAAGGGGATTTGGCTTGTCATTTCTCACCGTTCCGGAGCCACCGTCGCTGGCTGTCTTGGAGCCGCCTCTTTCAGACCCTGTTCCTCTCTCTCTCTCTCTCTCTCTCTCTCTCTCTCTCTCTCTCACTATTGTTTGGTGGGGAAGGGGGGGACTGGGTCTTTCGGAGGGGATTTGGCTTGTCATTTCTCGCCGTTCCCGAGCCACCGTCTCTGGCCGTCTCGGAGCCGCCTCATTCAGACCCTGCTCCTCTCTCTCTCTCTCTCTCTCTCTCACTACCGTCTGGGGGGAAAGGGGGACTGGGTCTTTCGGAGGGGATTTGGCTCGTCATTTCTCGCTATTCTCGAGCCACCATCTCGGAGCTGTCTCATTCAAACCCTGCTCTTCGGCTGCGGTTCGATCGTTTGTGGTGCTCCACCTCGGCGCGATTCTCATCCGTTACACCTTCCAGACGTTTGTCACGGAGCCACGACAGCCGCCGATTCACCGCCGCGACTCGTTTGAGACCAAGTAAGCCTCGAGTGAGCCCTTCCCTCTATTTTTGCTCAACTCGCCATACCGGGGTTGTCAAGCCCCGGTCCGTCCGCTCTATAGACTCGGTTGTGCCGTTCCATGTTCTTTATGATTGTCTCTGTTGAATGTGTTTTGGGTTTGGTCGACATTTGAGTCGGGGTAGGGTATTTTTTTAGACAAACAAGATTTCACTGTAGATTGGGTGTGGTTTTTTTTTTTTTAGGGTATTAGCCCCATTTAAATCGTTGTATGGGTCGTGATGCACCCACCAGTCACTTATATTGCTTCCCTTTCTCAATTTCCACTTTGAAATATTTCAATGAAAGCCTTCATTTTTCATGATTTATGTGAGCCATAGTAGAGCTAGAGGCTGCCACCATGCCAAGAATTAAAGATTGTGATTTATTATTTAACATGGATCAGTTGACGTATGAATTGGGTAAATTAATAAGATTAATGTTTTAATGGGATAAAGCATCATAGGTATCTGAAGTCTGAACTATTATAAAATGTTCAAACTGTTTCCTCCATTTGTTTTTGTAAACTAAATTACGGATATTCTTTCAAGTTAGTCCTTCCGTTGAAAGGATAACTCGAGATGCAGCCGTGATAATTCCACATCAGCTCGACAAGAGCATATTTGTCCAAATTATTTTTGTAATATTTGAAAAAAAAGAAGAAAAAGAAAGCAAAGCAAAAGGGTTGAAAAGTCAATAAAGAAGCTACAGTGGACTTCAATTTATAAAAGGGGACCGAGAGCTTGCGGGAGAGAGAAAAAGAAGGAAAGGAAAGAAAGAGGAAAGAAGAGGAAGAAAGGGAAAGAGAAAGAAGAGGGGTTTCACACGTAGGCGTCACTGACATTTCATCAAGTCGATTCAACGTCGATTCGCAATGTTCGGTAAGTGCTCGCGCCTCTCGTTCGTCCAATCAGAAAAGTTTTCCGGGTTAGAGCTCATATTTCGGAATTATGTGTTATTTGAGCGGTGAAGTCCGATTTTTGAGTCGTTGAGCTATGAATATATATAGGATTGATAGTTTAGGGTGTCGTTGTAAGGACCCGGGATCTACACTGTGTAATATTGTCCGCTTTGGGCCCACTGACCCTCACTGCTTTAAAACGCGTTACACAGAATAGAGAACTCAAGCCTTATAAACTAACCCAGGACTCCCCCCTAAGCGATGTGGGACAAGAGACATGCCCCCCTTGCCATCCTAGAAGCCTGCCAGGAGCCGCTCCTTGACCAGGCCTTCTGGCCCCAGCGACCACTCCCCGCCCTCGTCGGACCGGGTCGTTACATTCTCCCCTCCTTCGAGCACCGGCGACCACTCCCCGCCCTCGTCGGACCGGGTCGTTACATTCTCCCCTCCTTCGAGCACAGCATCCTCGCTGTGGCCCCACACGCGGTCGGGAGTCGGCTCTGATACCATTTGTAAGGACCCGGGGTCTACACTGTGTAATATTGTCCGCTTTGGGCCCACTGACCCTCACGGCTTTAAAACGCGTTACACAGAATAGAGAACCCAAGCCTTATAAACTAACCCAGGACTCTCCCCCTAAGCGATGTGGGACAAGAGACATGCCCCCTTTGCCATCCTAGAAGCCTGCCAGGAGCCGCTCCTTGACCAGGCCCTCTGGCCCCGGCGACCACTCCCCGCCCTCGTCGGACCGGGTCGTTACAGTCGTGGAGCCGTGGGATTTTACGGATCTTGATTTGGACTTACGGTTTGCCTAATATAAATTTTTGAAGTTGGCCGCGCAAGGTGAACAGTGCGCGACCAGCGGCTTTTAGGCTGATTTTCATCGGTTTTCGGCTCGATAATGGGTTGGCCAAGTTGGGGTTCTTGTAGTGCTTTGAATGGGCTTTCTATTGACTATAAGCTTGCTTGAAACGGGGTTCGGTGGAGGTATTTATGGTGAGATCAAGTTTCGCGCTCAAGCTCCGCGTTGCGGACGGTTTGGATAATTTCTTTGGACAAGCAATTTGTGGGCTCCTTTGAGTTGTCTTGTTAGCATTTAAGCGTCGTTTAGCCGTTTCGTAGTTATCGTGGTATTTTACTTGATTTTGACGTCGATTCTCGTTTAATTGTTAGGATTACGAGATTGTCGATTCGAGTGAGCGTTGTTATTTGGTTTTGGAGCATTTCCAGGTGAGTGGTACTATTTCTTCCATGAATTTATAAACTCATGTCTTGAAAATATTAGAGTTTTAATATGGTATGAGTTATTAACATCATGTTTCTGGCATCAATTGGATCGAACTTTTACTACCTTTTTAGTAGATTGAAAAGGGAATGAGAATGTTTTATGAAGTGGTCTAAAATGACCAATTGTGAATGCTTTTGTTAAATGTTTAGTGAAAGGAATCTCCAAAAGTAGTTCGTATTGATTACGAAATGTTTTATGAAATGCATTTTATTTGATAAATGGAATTGTGAATGGTTA